AAGAGGCGTCAGACCAGATTGAGGTGCTTCAAGATCACGCAACAGCCAACGCAACCATAGAAGTTCACTAATGGTAGTCGCCATAGCTCGATATTCAGCTTCTGCAGAAGAACGAGAGACAACAGACTGCTTTTTTGTCTTCCAAGAGATTGGAGCTCCTCCCAAAGTTATGAAATAACCAGTCTTGGATCTTCGAGTAAGTGGACAACCAAGCCAGTCTGAATCACAAAAAGCAGTCAAGGAAAGATCTCCTTTAGATGAGAAGAAAATGCCTTGACCAGGACTTGATTTCGGATAACGCAAAACACGTTGGGCTGCATCTAAGTGCGTCTGTCGAGGAGAGGAAACAAATTGACTAAGACAATTAACAGCAAAAGTAATATCAGGTCGTGTGACCTGTAAATATAAGAGTCGTCCAATGAGTCGTCGATATTGGCCGGCATCCACAACTGGTGAGTCAACTGCATCATCTAACCGAGCGTTTGACTCCATTGGGAACGAACTTGGACGACATCCTTGATGCTCACTATCAGCTAAAATGTCCATAGCGTATTTTCTCTGACTAAGGACCATACCATCAGAAGTACGTGCCACTTCGATACCAAAAAAATATTTTAAAGGTCCAAGATCCTTGATGCTAAATTGTCCATCAAGATAAGTTTTGACCTTCTCAATTTGATCAGCATCATTCCCAAGAAGTATGATGTCGTCAACATAAATGAGAGCCGCAACATAAACGGTTTTGGTTCTGAAGATGAATAAAGAGTGATCTGCTCGAGAATGTCGAAAGCCAATGCTGAGAAGCGCATCAGTGAATTTCCTGTACCAGTTGCGCGATGCTTGTTTGAGACCGTACAAAGATTTATTTAGGCGACACACACGAGAATCTCCTTCTTTCGCAAACCCTTGTGGGATCTTCATATAAACTTCTTCTGTAAGATCTCCATGTAAGAAAGCGTTGTTAACGTCTAACTGATGGATTAACCAATTCTTTTGTACAACAACAGCTAGGATTGTTCTAACAGTTACTAACTTAGCAACCGGTGCAAAAGTCTCGTGAAAAATCAACGCCTTCAACTTGTGTAAAACCTTTAGCAACTAATCTGGCTTTGTACCGTTCAACTTCTCCTGAAGGTTTGTATTTAATTTTGTACACCCACTTGGAATCAACAACCTTCTTTCCTGAGGGTAGTTTGGTCAATGTCCAAGTGTTATTACTTTCAAGTGCCGAAATCTCTTTGTGCATAGCATCTCTCCATTGGGGATACTTAACTGCCTGCGAAAAATGTTTAGGCTCGTTTTGGACAGATATGGCAGCCAAGAAGGTTTTATGAGCATTAGAAATTTTTTTATAAGAAACAAAATTAGATAAAGGGTGTACCGTCGAGGTTGTTGTATTGGCCTTGGGGAGAGAATGGTCAATGGAGGATGGCAAGTCAACTTCAAAATCATTATACTTTTTCGGTTGAGTTCGAGTTCTCTCAGAATGTCGAGTTTGTTCAACATCAGAATTTTCATTTCCGTTTGGTCTCGTGTCACTGCTGTTCCTGTGATTGGGCTGCTCAGAATATGAGTTTTGTGGCCTTGGCTGGTCTGCTGTGGGTACAACAGGCTCCTCGGAATTGGGTTGTTGCTGCTCGATGTACTGTGGCTCATCAAGAATATAATCAGGTTGCCTTGGTGGCCGTGAAGTTTTCTTTGTAATCTGATCAGATTCATCCTTTTGGAAGGGAAAATGACATTCAACAAACCTAACATCTCTAGAAATAACAATCTTTTTGTCATTCAAATCAAAAACTCGATAACCTTTTTGTCCTTGTGGGTATCCAAGGAACACACAAGGTCTCCCCCTTTCTTCGAATTTATCCTTTCCCGCTTTATTTTCTTTGACATATACCAGACACCCAAAAACACGCATGTGTTCATAGTGTGGTTTGTGTCCAAGAAGAATTTCGTATGGGGTTTTATTTCCAATGGCTCTTGAGGGCAACCTGTTAACAATGTAAGTAGCAGTCATTATGCATTCACCCCAGAATTTTATTGGGAGATTGGCTTGAAACCTTAATGCTCTAGCTATCTCAAGTAAATGCCTGTGTTTCCTTTCAACTACCCCATTTTGTTGTGGGGTGTGAACACATGAAGTTTCAAGCAAGATCCCATTTTCTTCATAAAATTTCAACATGTGATTTGAAACAAACTCACCACCATTGTCACTTCTGATTTTATTAATCTTTTTCCCAAATTGTGTATTAACCATATTGTAAAAGGCTATCAAACTAGTACTTGCATCAAATTTGTTTTTAATCAAATATACCCACGTTGATCTACTAAAATCATCAACTATTGTGAGAAAGTAGTAAGCTCCTGATAGAGAAGGGACTCGATATCCACCCCATATGTCACAATGGATTAAATCAAAATAAGAACTAGTTTTTATTGAACTATCAGGAAAAGGAAGCCGAGTTTGTTTTGCACGAATACAAGAATCACAATTTTCAATGCTAACATTACTACCTATCGAGTGAATATGTTGAAGTTTCGTGCTAGATGCATGTCCTAATCTTCTATGCCATATTTATGAGTCAATCTTGACCGCCATGACTGCCACCCTTTTATCGTTTCCTTCCATGTTGTAAAGACCATTTTCACATTTCCCCATGCCAATCAGCTTCCTCGAGTGTAAGTCCTGAATGAAACAGAAATCCGAGAAAAAAGTCATGAAGCAATTAAAATCTTTAGTAATTTTGCTAACGGATAACAAGTTGCATTTAAAATTGGGAATGTATAAAACATCGTTCAACTTCATGTTGTTGGGTAATTGGGCATCTCCTATTCCTTTAACAGGAATTTTATCTCCGTTAGGAATGCTAACTGGAACACCATCTTGTGGATGTGTTAAGTTAGTGAGAGTGGATTTTTGACACGCCACATGTTCAGTTGCCCCTGAATCGATTACCCAAGGTAACCGAAATTCAACCTTACCTGCCATGTTGACCTCCGGTTTTTGTACATCGTTTAATTGCTTCATCAACTTCGTGTATTGCTCCAGACTAAGACCAGGTATAGGGCTGGTCTCCATCCCGATGTTGGCTGCCTTTGGTTTTGGGCGATTGGTCCTTTTTTGATCAGTAGTGGTCTTGCGTCGAGTGTCCCACCACTCCGGATAACTAATCTTTTCGAAACAGCCTTCAATATTGTGTCCATTCTTTCCGCAATGCTTGCACTTCATGCCTTCACGGTTAGTATTCCTTTTCTCAACCGGGTTCTTGTCGGTAGTGATTTGGGCACGCATCTGATAAGCTAATGCATCTACATTGGGTTTTCTGGCAGCTGAGATATTTCGTTGTTGTTCATCTTCTGAAACCAAGTGGTAAGTAGCTCCAAGTGAGGGCATAGGTTTAGTGCTAAGGATCTGAGTTTTCACGGTTCTAAAAGTGTCCTCAAGACCCATTAAGAACTCATAAACACGTTCTTTGTCTCTTGATTCAACGAGCCTTTTTCCAATGTCGCATGTGCATTTGCCACAGGTGCAAGTTGGTGTCGGTGAAACAGAGAGAATTTCATCCCAGATTGTCCTCATCTTCGTGAAGTAGGTTGAAACGGAATCAGGTCCTTGTCTGAGGGTTGTTAGGGCACGTTTCAATTCATAAGCCCGTGGTGCACTTTCCTTTCCAAATCTTTCTTCCAGATCATCCCAAATCTCCTTGGCGGTGGTAGCGTATTTTACACTATTCCGGATATCTTTCTCCATGGCTGAAGTAAGCCATCCCTTTATCAAGGCGTCACTTCGTTGCCAGGCCCTGTACTCATTCGTTCCTTCAATCGGCTTTTCAATGGTTCCATCAATGAAACCGGCCCTATTCTTTGCTAGGAGGAAATCTTTCATCTCCCTGGACCAGTCAGCATAATTGTTGTCACCAAGGTTTTCATTGACGTGCACTTGTCGTGGATAATCAGTGGGATGGATGTAAAATGGTGAGTTTGGATCTGATGACGGGTTGGCGTTAGTACCGGAGGCACCCGCTGGAGTGTCTCTCGTCATTGCTTAACAGGATGCAATATCCTGCTCTGATACCATAAAGAACTAAAAGAAGAGAAGAGTAATTCCAAGAAATCGATGACTGACATTAGATTAAGAAGGGATATATATAATCCCAAAAGACAACTGGAGTGCAACTGGATTTCAAATAAAGATAAAACAAACTAGTAATTATCTAATATCTAATATGATTATCCAATAATAAAACGATAACTCCTTTATTATCACTCAATATTCATAGACACGTGTCCTGGTTGTTAGAGTATTTGTTAGTTTCGGTTATTTAGTTATTCTTTACAAGTCTGTTTAAGTTCTTGTATATATGTATTGAGTTTTTCATTCAGTTCAATTAATGAAAGAAATGTTCTCTCTCAAACATATTTCTCTCTCTAGATTTCAAATCTAATACTCTCTTCCGTTTTCTTTCAGTTTAGTTAGATCCTCGAGCTTCCCTCTTTGAATTACTTTTAGTTACATCTTTTAGCTACCTTTTTGAAGTTTTACTTTACAAGTTGATCTAAGAGAAAACTGGCTATTAATATAGACCCATGGCTGATTTGATGCATGGTGAATTATGAGTTTCTATTTACAGGTGACATACGGTTTACAGATGATACAGTGTGTTAGCAAGTGTTTTTCACAGTTTCAAATAGAAAAAATGTAGTTCCCTTAACTTTTGCTTTAGCTACAAATAAAGGAAAGTACGTCACCGTATCTTGCATTTAGCCTTTAATTTTAAAATCTTTTAAATAATTAATCAATGGAATTTTTTAATATTGCGTAAACACTAAATGAATAACAACTTACTTTTGTATTATTATCGATTGATTAAATGTAAAGAATAACAACTTATTTTCATAAGTTTGTCTTACGTTCCGTTTGATAGTTTCTGTCTGGAAAGTGCTGTCTGGGAAAGTTTTCTGACTGGGAAAGAAACCACGCTGTTTGATTGTACATCTGATTAACTGTGCTGAATGATGAAAAAAAAATAATTCAATAAAAAATAAATTTAAAAAAAGTTATTTAAAAAAATTAATAATCCAAGAAAGAAAGAAAGATGCCAATTTGGTGTATAATTGTCTTTCCAGCCCATCCAGCCAGAAAGATATGATTTTGGAGCTTTCTCGGAAAGACATATCTTACCGGAAAGACCATTTTTTTTGTGCAAATCAAACAGTCTTTCCGGAAAGATCTGTTTGGACCTAAAAAGATGCGTATCAAACGGGGGCTTGGTACTTTGAGTTTCACTACACGTAAATAAATAACAAATTTATTGAAGTAGAACAAAACGCAGAATACCCCTAGTTAGAAACAAACCTTAGTAATTTTCGTTAAAGTCGACCTATATTTAACAATTACCAAAGAGCTCTAGTTTCTCGTCTTCTCTGCTCCGAAATCACAAGTGATATCGTCATCTTCAGACTCGTCGTTATCGGCCATATCATCTGAACCATGGATGTGAAACCTTATGAGGTAAATCGAAAGTAAATGTAGATCCACAATGTTCTTTACTCGATACAGTCAGATGTCCTCCCATCAGCTCAACCTGCGATAAATCACAATTCACACGGATTTTAGGTCAAAACCAATTTCGTTTTCTCACATTCCGATTTCGATTTCGATTCCAAATCCAATCTAGAATCATTACCAATTGTTTGCAGATCACTAAACCTAATCCAGTCCCATCGTATTTCCTAGCTGTATCTGCACTGGCTTGCGTGTATTTTTTGAATAAATTCGGCAATGCAGTGTCTGACATCAAATCGATGAATAAAATATTATGGTTAACATGAAGCTACGAAACTGAGAAATTAGGAATTTGAAAGGTACCTGGTATTCCGATTCCTGTATCTTTAACATCACAGCGTATCCAGACTACTGTTTCATGCGACTCAGGTTCATTCTCCTCATGCCCATTGATTTTTGCTGAGATCGATGAGTCATCTGTGTTTATCTTCTTCGGTTCATGTTGAGGATATGGATCTGCTATTACATATAGATTTATCTCAACCTTCCCTTGGTGAGTAAACTTGATAGCATTGCTGCACAAAATTTATGAGTTTAGAATTTGGTGTGTATGGACCATTTTGACCTGGTTAGAAATACCTGATCAAGTTGGTGAGAATCTGTCGAATCCAAAGAACATCACCAATAATCTGAAATTGTTTAACAAATGTTAACATAAATGTTTTCTTTTTATAGCAAGTTGTATCGATATTAGAGATTAAACCTCCAATGGGACATCATCTGATACGTGTCCTTCCAAAATCAGCTTCTTTTTCAATGAAGCAACAGCAGTTTGAACAACATCATTGATTACTTCTCTAGGCCTGAATTTTGTAGCTTCCAGCTTCATAACTCCTGAAAATAATCTAAACTTTTAAATAATACACAGTATAAACATCAGTCTATTAAAAAAATACCAATTATAAAGGGATGAAAAATAACCTGACTCGCCTTTGGAATGGTCAAGAATGTCATTTATAAGTTGAAGAACTAAAACAGAAGAAGATAATATAACATCCAAGAGTTGTTTTTGATCATTATCGAGTTTTGTAGTTGATAAAATCTCTGCCATGCTAACAACCCCGGATAATGGAGATCTTATCTCATGTGACATGGTTGCCAACATTTGTTTCACTCTCATAGTTTCCTCTAAAAGAAATTGATTTAGGCAAAATGTTCGATAATACTTTTTTACATATAAAAAAAATTATAAGGTTTAAGAGACAGAAAAGTTACCAACCTGTAATATTAATGGTTTTATTAAGTTCTTCCTCTTTAGCCTTCTGCACAGCTATTTCTTCCCGGAGTTTTGCCATCTTTTCTCTCCTTCTAACCTGTCACATGATAAAAATATATATATATATATATATAAAAAAAAATATATATTAGAAGTGACTAAGTACAAGAAATAGCATATCCTACTTTCATTACTTTGAAAATCTATCAAATTATAAAAGTGAATTGGGTAGGTTTTTCAAAGTACAAAGTTGTAATAAGAAAAGACAAAAGTAGGATGCTATAATACACAAAACAAAGAAGGTACCTGATCAGTGATGTCCATGCCCATGTAATTAACACCGATTGTTTCTCCATCTTTGCTGAAAACAGGTTCAACATAAAATAAAAATGTTTTGTCACCAAATAATTCGCTTTCAAAAGTAATTTCTCTTTTTGCTGGTAATCCTATTTCAAGAACTTCTCTTTTGAAGTCTTGGGATTCCTTTACACCACCACCTTTGAATATTTCCTCATCTGTTTTCCCGATTATATCCTGTGCATAGTATTAGGAAAAAAAAAAGTCATGGTTCCAAAAATCTATGAACTTACAACAAACAATAAATTTGAGTTTATAAAATTTGATGATGATCATATTACCTCTTCTTGTAAACTTGGAAAATGATTATAAATGAAGCGATATCGCATCTCATTGTCCTGAGATATGACAATCATAATGTAAAAAGGGCAAAAAAAGGAACAAACGAAAAAGGGCTTGCTTGAAATCAAATTACCTGATGGCCAATAACAAGAGGTGCATTTTGAAGAACAAAATGTAAAACAAAAACAAGTTTACTTAATTCAATTAATGAGAGAGAGAGAGAGAATGTGGAGAGAGAAACCATGTGAGAGGGAAAGAAAAACAATTGTGGGAGAGCAGAGACGAGTAGAAGCTCAAAAGGCCATGTGCATTTGAAAACAAGTTATATATATAGTATATAAGGTGACACACAATACTGAATTGAACAAGAGGTTTTTATATCGTGGAGAATTTTTTTATTGCTTATTCGAGAATCTCTCACAGACATTTATACAAACACATTGTGTTCATTCATCGTTTACACAGACACAAACACACACTGAAAACACCTACACTCCGTTCCAATTTAATTCTTTGTGGAGAACATGCATGTACATGGGAAATTGTTAATTGATAATGGGGTTTTCTTTATTGCTTTTTCTGGATGTACTCCATCAATCAAAAGCCAATATCCATTCATAGGGAGAGGTATAAATATTGCACAAACAGGGAAAGATTAGCAAAGGGAGCTGATAAATCCACATTAACTTTTTATCCTTCGACTCATAATTATATTTATTGACATTTATACCCTTATTTTAATTATAGTTATTGAAGAAAAAGAAAGCTTCATTTTTTCTTTTTCAAAACCCACGTCTACTCTTCCTCTCTCACACATACACATCTCTTCTTCATAACCATTCCACTGTTAAAAAAAAAAAAAAAAAAAAAAGTTTTCCCTTTGATCAAATGACAATAACTAGAAAGACTCAAATCGATCATCTCTCTCTTCACGATTTGAATAAGTTTTGGGTTTGATTTAAGCCATAGAAAACCCATATTAATTTTCCTGCAAACTCAATCTCCAGCCAAACAGCCACCGCCATGGAGTATCGGCTCCATCTACAATTTTGATATCGATTGGAAAAAGCACCCAAGATCAAAAGCCTCTTTAAACCAAAGTCTTCATGTGCGAACCAAATAGAAATCTGAGAGGAGACTTTAGATACACTTTCCTCGGTCCCCTTCTCTTACCCCTTATTGGTGGTTTGGTGGCTCTACAGAGCATCGTGAGAGATTGACAGATTTGGCTTCAATGGTTGTTGCAATCTGCTAATTTGACCGATTCATCGCATATACGATTACAATATCTTTTTGGTGGTCCTGAAATTTTCCCTCTTCGTTTTCCTTTTTGTTGTTTATGTATTATGATCGCAGGTGAAATCATTAGTAACTTAGAAACTTAAAGGGGCAAAACTAAAGATGAGCATATGGACCGGGGAACCGGCCGGAACTGGTACCGGAACCGGAACCCGATGGAACCGGTCAGGTCGGGCAGGGGCCGGGACCGGGACGATATTGTTGTGGATTTTTAGAACCGGGAACCGGTAGACCCAGGAAAAACCGGAACCGTTTGTTGCTATTTCTCGAGGGCCGATTCCAAGTTCCAACATTGAAGACACGACAAGAACCGATGGAACCGGAACCGGTAGAACCGGCGGTCCGGTTCAGTTCTTGATTTCGATCGAAGTCGGTTCCCGGGCCAGGTCCGGGTCGAGTCGGTTCCGGGTTCAGTTCTTGATTTCGATCGAAGTCGGTTCCCGGGCCAGGTCCGGGTCGAGTCGGTTCCGGCCGGTTCAGTTCCTTTGCTCATCCCTAGGCAAAACGGTTGGCCCTCTAAGAAAAAATACTCAAAGAAAAAAAGTCTTAAGATCTCCTCCGAGGTTTTTCAAATTCATACAAGTTTCTAGTTCTAGGGCTTCGGCTTCTTTTATGATTTTTTCCATACGTTAATTTTCGCTGACAGTTTTCCGATGTTCTATGATTAAAATGCAAAATTTCAATCGGTTCATGTCTCTAAACTTGATAACCAATTTTTTGGATTTCGACATGTTAAAATTTTAAATTATTCGAATTCGGTTGCTATATTGTGGAGTAATATATTATTCTAAAACTTGTATCGAAATATGTTGAGAAGTGTCTTTAAAGTTGGGTTCTTAAAATGAAATTATATATATATATATATATATATATATATATATATATATATATAGAGAGAGAGAGAGAGAGAGAGAGAGAGTGTGTGTGTGTGTGTGACGCAGGTTTGGTAACAAGGGTATAAACGTCAAAAAAATATAAATATAAGTGGATGAATAATAACCCACCGGTGGAAGAATCAACTCCTATTAGCAAAGGGTTGGATTTTTTAAATTGGCAGGCAAAGGAAAACTCCAGCCCGCCTACTTCCAAGGTTGACGCATATCCTGGGTGCGTTGGGATCCATGCGCTTAATTGGAGGCTGCTCCTTTATTTTGTTTTGACCCTTTAGGCTGGTGGGTGTCATAGCATAACTTACCACATTTTAATCTCCCACATCATTTTTTTTCCACACCCCATAAAACTGGTGACTATCATACCACAACTTACCGCACCCACCACATGACACATTTTTATGCACAAAGTACTACCTTTGAAGGGGTATACCATGCCGTGAAACCATAACGTATGGCATGCTTACCACGGTGGAACATGGTGGGTCGGTGTGGTGTTTACCGCACACCGTAGTGACACGTCACATACAGCGGTGTGCGCTATTAGGCGCACCGAGGGGTCTTATTACCAGGCACTTTAAACTCCAACCAATAACTGTTTTTTTACACCCATTGACTTCTCCGTTGATATTCAATCAAATTTAGTAAAATCAAACGTTGTAAATATAAATGACACGTTGATGGGTTGTAATTTGAAAAATTAAATGATTTAACCAGGTTCAGTCTGTTTATTATAGAAACTGAATTGTAAAAATAATAAACATGTCATCATGTTTATTTTAATACATTGAGTTTGAGTTGAAAATTTCGAAATTAAATGAGTTATCTACGTTTAGTCTATATATTGTAGATACTAGATACTAAAGTGATAAAGTCTATATATTGTAGATACCAGATACTAAACTGTAAAAATAATAAACTTGTCATCATGTTTATTTTAGTACATTTGAGTTTGAATTGAAATTTTATAATCGTTTAACTAAACAAGTTAAATTTTTTGTGATTTAAATCCGTTTAACAAAAAAATTGAAACAAAAAACAACTGAAGCCCAATATGTACTTTGTCACCGGTGATTAACTTATGGGAAATGACTTGTTTGTGTAATTATTTTTTTCTATTGTTCACGTTTAGACAATTTCTTTTTTTTTTTTTACACATTTGACCATTTAACTTGTTTAAATGTGTTCACATATTATCATTGTCAGCTGCTATCTCAGTAGAATATGGTAACATGTGAACATATTTGACAAGTTAAATGGTCGAATATGTAAAAAAAAAATTGTCTAAATGTGAATAAATTTTTTATAAATTTCTTAAGACTTTTTAGAACTTTTTGCAACATTTTTATGATATTTTTTCCTATAGGTTTTTCCTACTACAATTTTTTAAACATTGTTTATAATTTTTTTTAACTTTTTTTTTATACTTTCATATAATTTTCATACAAGTGCTAGGGGTGGCAATCCCAACCCGAACTCGCCAACCCACCCGAACCCAGTAAATAGTAAATAGCAGGTTGGATAGAGATTTTGAACTCGTTTATACTGTCGGTTTTACTATGGTGTCCGTAGTGGCACCGACAACGCCTAGTTGCTTTTTCTGGATACAGTGGAAAATTTTTCGAAATTTTTTTAATTTTTTTCTACTATCGTGACACTACTAAAATTTCCCGTGACACCTCTACTATGAAATCTTGCGTCCGCCCCTACCTATTTAATTAAATGGGTCATCCCGTCTAACGCGTTTAATTAAATGGGTTCGGATAAGATTGAAATTTCTAACCCATTGACAACCCGTCAACCCATTTAAAATTTTTTAACTTTTTTTTAATTTATATTTATTTATTTATTTATTATTATTATTATTATTATTATTATTATTATTATTATTATTATTATTATTATTATTATTATTATTATGATCATTATATTGTGATTATTTTTTATTTATCAAAAACCATGGGCAAGTAAGTAACACCGGAAGTCGAGTTGGTAAAATTGATAGTCGAGTTGCGTAGAATTTAAAATTCAAACATTTATAATGTTATATGGTTGTAAATGATAAGTTTTATAGGTTATAACAAAACATGTGTAGCAGAAAATCTTAATTCTTAAGTGCACATGCAACCTATAAAGGATTTACGTTTTCTCTAATTGATAGCAATAAACACTGAACATCAAGAACCTTAATGGTAACCTATTATAATTGAAAAATACATAGGATTAGGGTTACATACATTTCGATTATTGTAGCAAATAATCACACCAAAATTCTTCTTGAAAGCCTTGGAAAGCAAGCACCAAAGGATTAGTGTCTCTAGTGGTTTGTACCCAAACCCTAGCAATTAGAAGACTTGAGGGGAGAGGATGAGAGGGAAGAAAATTGACTATTCTCTTATGAAGAAGGGGTGGACGAAAATGAGGCACCCAATGGGTTATATTTATAAATGATAGAAAAACCCTTGAAACCCTAATCTTGAATAATATAATAATATTTCAAATTCAAGATATTATCTAGTATCTTTATCTTCATGAGGCTTCCACAAACCCTAATTGGGCTCCTCCAAAACCATCCACCTATGGAAGGTTCTGGAAGCCTTCCGTTGTTTAATTTTTTGAACAATTACAGCTTAAGTCATTGCCTTTAATTAATCCAATTAATCCCAAAAACGAATTTCAATTAATTTCTGATTAATCCTTAATTAAACAATATTATTTCTAATTAATATATTAATCACATAATATATTAACAAATCATTTATTACAAGTTATTAATCATATAATAAATCAATAAATCAACATCTCTCTCCAAATGTCATTCTACTCATTTACTAGTTATGAGGGAAACTCAAAAAGGACTTTTGTCACACCCCCAAACCGGAACGGCAGAAACGTTCGGGGGCGGAGGACGTCATGTATAGTATCACAACAATTGCATAATAGTAATCAAAGCAACAACAACCATTGTATTAATAGTATAATGTTTACATTATATTTGAATCATACACAATTGACTCCAAAAGTAAATAACAAGTAAAGACTTGAAGTTACTATG